TCAGTCTTATCCCCATGGTCGTTCATCAAATGGGGAATGGATATCGTCGGTCCTTTGCCATCGGCCCCAGGTAATGCTAAGTTCATTTTATTTATGACTGACTATTTCTATAAGTGGGTTGAAGCACATGCTTCTGAGAAAGACAAAGAAAAAAAGTAGTAGACTTTATTTGGGATCACATCACATGCCGATTCGGGATACCCGCCGAAATCGTATACGATAATGGAAAATAATTCATCGAAAGCAAAATAACAAAGTTCCTCGAAGATCACAAAATAAAAGGATCTTGTCGATGCCATGTCATCCTAGTGGGAACGGACAGGCCGAATCGACAAACAAGACCATCATTTAGAATCTAAGAAGAAATTGAACGACTCTAAGGGAAAATAGAGAGAAATTTTGCCCAAAGTCTTTTGGGCGTATCGAACAACGTCAAAATCCAGTACGGGGGAAACACCGCTCTCCTTAGTATGTTGCACCGAAGAACTAATTCCGGTCGAAGTCGAGGAACCTAGCGTCAGGTTTCGATACACAATGGAGGACTCAAATCATGAGGCTAAGAATACAAAACCTCGAATTGTTGGATGAAAAATGGGAAGTCGCCCTTGTTTGAATGGCCGCCCAGAAATAGCGAATTGAGAGATATTACAATCGAAGAGTCAATCTTCGACACTTCAAAATTGAGGACTTAGTCCTGAGCAAAATCACCATCAACACTCGACACACAAACGAGGGAAAGATCGGTCCAAATTGGGAGGGATCGTATCAGGTCCTCAACATCATCGGAAAGGGATCTTACAAACTTGACACGATGAACGGCGAACAATTGCCAAACAATTGTAACATATCACTCCTCAAACGATATTATTACTAAGGTATGACTTTCTCCTTTTTCATTTGTATTTTATACTAACTTGTTGCAGGTGTTCGATCGAAGGCATCGAAGCTCTCTCCAAAAATGAAGTCCTTAGGTCTGAAAGCACGTGTTGCACTCTTTTTCCCTTCGACCAGTTTTTATCCCAAATGGGTTTTTCTGACAAGGTTTTTAACGAGGCAATCATTGTTCGTGCTAACTTAAAGCAATTCAACTGTATCCGAGGCTTCTTTACAAATCAACCTCGAATACTGGGTTCGGATGTTATGTTTTTAAGGAAAATACTTCGTGTCACCAGGGTCTCGATAGATAAATTTCGTGTATCCATGTAGATTAATCGAGACCAGATGAACATGTACGCATGAATGATCTATTGAAAGAAGTATTTTTTGTCTTTACCTGATGTTCCATGCCTTAGTGAAATTTCTACTTTACAATTTCATACTTATGATCTATTGCGGAAATCGGCTCAAGCGCCGATCACAACTAAAGCTCGAACAATCAACCCCGTACTCGGGGACTGCCATCCAAACATCGACATGCTTGAATTATTAAACTTCAAGATTATAAAACCTTATAAAGGCAACCCTCATTTTTACGGGCTACGGCCATCCCACTCGGGGACTGACGCTTCGAACAAGTTCAAAGTGAAATTGAGAAACAAGCCCAAAGGGCAAATCTCAAGTTAAAGGCTATGGCCAAACTAACACGGTTCAGAGACGTCCAAATTTTGTAATAAAATAGGCCTTCCAATATTTTCATAAAACCTGTTAAAAAAGGCTACCCTCAGCTGAATCACAAAGAGTTCGATAACATCAACCCTAAAAAACCTTAAGGGGTACCAAATTGTTCGAGCTCTCGAACAAGCTTATGCTAAGGAATAATAAAGTAAAGGGTTTGATATCACTAACCCTTGAAAATCCTTATGAGTACGGGTTTACCTCATGCTATGGTATCACTAACCTCAGAAGTTGATGAGCCTCATCGAAGATACTCTATGCATCACCCAGATTGGAAGCATCTTCGACTCCCGTGAAGTAACCGTGAAAAAGGTCCTCCCCTTTGTGGGCCATTCCCACATCGGGGTATCCATGGCCTAGGCCTCTTGAATTTTCCCCTCAGAAAATGTGGGGAGGGGCGACGAATCATCAACGTCTATTGCCCCAAGAAAGTCACTTAGGGCGTTCTTTTCATTTTGAAGGGCCTCAGAACCGGTCCCTTTAAGCAAATCCGCCGATTGCTCATCACGGCAGGAGGCATCTTCAGCCTCCGAGGACTCGGAGACTTTGCTCGGGCCACTCTCTGAGATATCTTCGGTTCGAGGCTGAACATCTTCGATCATCACCAGCTCAATGGCCTTCGAGGCCTTGGCGCCCCTCTTCATTCGAGCTACTAGCTCTAAGTTAGCATCTTCATATTCCTCTTCTTCCTTCCTTAGACGCTGAGCAACATCAACAAGCAGGGTGGCGATGTCCTTTTTCGACCTGCGAGCCTTGCTCTTCTTGGGCTTTGGAGTATCGGAGGGCGAGACCCTTTTCCTCTTCTTATCCCTCCCTGGCTTCGAGGCCTCCTTCTCCCCAGACGGGGGCCTCATGACGGTAATGTCCCCGAGACCTGTATGAAAGGAAATCAAGTAAATACAAAAAGAAATATTTTAGTGGAGAGCATCAAATACGTGTAAAGAAGCTTACCATGATTTTTGGCGTCCCATCGTCCCTTTGCCAAATCGTGCCATGAGCGCTCAGCATACGAAGAGGTCGAGGCTAGTTTCCGAACCCAACTCTCGAGGTTTGGAATTTCACCAGGAACCCAAGAAGCCGCTATATCATAGGAAAAGATGTCGATGAGAAAAGACAAAAGAAACAAAACAATAAACAGAAGCTATAAGTGGGTTTTGTACTTACGCTTCATGTTCCATTCCTCGGGGAATGACATCTTCTTGGCCAGAATTATGTCGGAAGTCCTCACTCGAATGATTCGGCCCATCCATCCTCGATCTTTGTCCTTGTATATTCTCGAGAACAACATCTTGGTAGCCCGATGTTGGAGCCTTATTAACTCGCCTCAATAGAGACGGTGGCTGTACATTCTGATGAGATGGTCAAGGGTGAAAGGCATCCCTTCGACCTTGATCACAAAGAATCGGAGCAGAATGACGATCCGCCAAAAAAAGGGATGGATATGACCTAGGGTTATTTGGTATTGATAGCATAAGTCGATGATGACGGGATCGACGGGGCCCAGCGTGAAAGGGTAAGTGTAAATACTTAGGAACCCTTTCACATGAGTAGTGATGTCTTCTTTGGGGGTCGGAATCACTACCTCTTTATTTTCCCAATGGCAATCTTTCTTCACCTGCTCGAGGTCGCCCTCAATTATCGAGCATATATATCTCTACATTGGCTCACATTGGCCAGGGACCGACGAAGTTTTCTCGACTTTGAAGTCGGAATCACACCCCCTAGAAATGCACTCCTCAAGGCGTGGCTCCACGGGCATTTTATCGCCGGACGGTCGCGTTGAAGAAGCTTTTTCCCTTTGAGGAACAGTTTTTGACGATTTTGCCATTTTTATATGGGTTTAGAGAAAGAAGAATATAAGATTTGTTGTTTTGAGAGAAGCTTGATAGTGGGATTTGAAGAATTCGCTAAACTGTTAAACTTGGAAGAAGTTGCGCTTTGAAGATTAAGAGAAGTTTGAAAGTAAAATTTGAGAAATTATGAGGAAGATCTATTTATAATGATCGCTACCACGGTTTAAATACACTAGTGGTCGACCACCAACTGACGCTCATTAATGATTTTGGGAACTGTATTGATGGGACACTTCGGTCGCTTCCATCGCTTACGTCACGAGGGTGACATCATAATCGGTCGAGGCACAAAATCGAAGGCTCAATTTGCTTCTTCTCATTACACTCCAAGAAACGAGGGGACTATCTCTATACTGTTAAAATCGGGCCTACCTAATTTTGCTATTTAATCAAAACCATGGAATTGTTTCGAGGGTTAGCCTCGATGTGGAATGGATCAAAGTGATGAAGGCAAGGTATTGTGTTCGAGAGTCGAAGTGCCTGCCGAGATCGAAGCCGGCAGTGATCGAGGTCAAACAGGGCAGACTCCGACCGAAGCACAATAACGGGAAAGCGAGATATCTGTGACTGGTCGAAGATCACAACGGAAATCTCGGAACGGATCAAATTAAAGGCGGTTAATTAGCTAATCATGTGATTTTCTTCTGTAATTAGAGTTATACCATAATTAGGATTCCTCTACTATATAAAGAGAATTCCCTATCATTTGTAGACACTTTACATTCACACAGATAAAAGAAATACAATATTCTCTCTTTAATTTACATTCTCTTGTTTATCAGCCTATTGCCTTTTTAACTGTTCTTATATAACTAGATCGAGGGTATTCAAGCTCGAGGGCTCTATCCAAATACTGGTTTGCTTTATATTATTGTTAATTTCCATCATTTATCTTTACGTTTATCAATTGGTATTAGGTGAAATCACGTATCCTTAAAACCACATTATAAGTTTAATTGTTATCCAATTTTTAAGGTAAACATATAGCAATGAGCTGTTTGGTAGGACGCATTAGAGAAAAATAATGTATGCATTAACTTTTCATATTACTAATCCCTTGTTTGATATACTTTTTTAACCTATCTGTTACTATTTACTAATGCAAGTATTAGTTATACAACTTATTGAGTATTATCCTATGTATAACTAATACATAGAAAACTATGATATTAATAATACCAAGGCTATTAATGCATGCATCAACATGGTAAAAGATAAAATTATCCTTAAAGTCCCTTAAAGCTAAAGAATATGGAGGGCGTTTTTTGTAAACAACTAATTTTCTTAAAAATTCTACAATGCATCTTAATTTTTAATATACCACACCAAACAGTGAATAAAAATAAATCTCTGCATAAATAATGCTTGCATTATAACCCATACATTACTAATCTTTGCATTACTAATACACCTTATTCAGCACTATTCTTATACATCTGTACCAAGATTGGGCTCTTCGCTGAACGAAAGGCCCAGATAGAAAAACACAAGAAACCAATAAAGGCCCAAGAAAGAAAGCCTAATTAAGACAATTTTCGTAATTTCAAGAATTAGGGTTTCTATACTTAACCCAGATAAGAACCCAAAAGCCGTTAGCTACTTCTTCCACTTTCTCCTCAGCTGGTGCGAAAATCCTAGCGCCTTCAGCAGTAGGTCTTTCGATCTCTCCTTTTGTCGTTCATTTGTTTATATTGTAACTCTTTGAGCTGAGGTTTTATTTTTCTGCAGTCGGTTTGTGAAATGGCCAAGTCCAAAAATCACACAGCTCACAACCAGTCGTACAAGGCCCACAGGAATGGCATCAAGAAGCCAAGAAAGCACCGCCATTCATCTACCAAAGGAGTATGTAAAAACCCCATCTCTTTTCTTCTTTTAATCTGATTCTGGTATTTATTTTTATTTTGGGGTAAATGTAGATGGATCCTAAGTTCTTGAGGAACCAGAGGTATGCCAGGAAGCACAACAACAATAAGAGTGTTGGATCTGCCGATGAAGAGTAAACAAATCCCTTAAAGTAACCATGGCTAGCACTGCTTTTTGAATTTGGGATTTTTTTTTATCTTGTTTTTTGTATGGAATTATAGTGGTTATTTACTAGAATGGAACCTAATTTAGTTTGTTATTCTGTTATCTAAACCAGTTATTAGTCTCTTTTAATCAATGACATTGTCTTTGCAGTTTTATTCTGATTACTTTTTAATCACCAATATTCACTGCTGATAAGTATTATTCCTCCCTCTTTTTGGATTAGTATGATGTCTGAAATGTCTTTATTTCTAAGAAGATTTGCCTATGTAGATTTTTGTTTCTGTGTAGTTGCTGAATGATGTCCCAAAGCTTAGCTGTTTGATGATGGTCGATCCATACCTACAGGTTTGCTTCTTTCTCACTTGACTATTCGATGGTTCTAGACTTGTAGTCCATGCTAAACTTAGTTGCTTGCAACACAAGCACTGTTTCCGTTATAATAGTCAATCAGATATCAAGGTGTATAGAAAAAAACAACGACCATCTTGATTTTCTCCTTGGATTGATTTTCTTTTCTGAAACTGTGTTTAACTGTTATTTTTGGTTGCATTAAAGTGAATGCTAGAGATTGGTTTGTTGGCTGCTGGCGACTGAAAAGCAGTTTCCTGTTCCGCGTAGGGGCATTGTATTGTCACCTCAAAATCATCGTATCAAACTATCAATGATTCCTCAATCACCCACACCAACTTAGTTTTAGACTTGTGATTTCCTCGTTATCATTTAAGAATCAAGTATCCCCTCAACGAAATTGTTGTCGATGTTCATTCACTTGGACTTGAGATCAGTAGTTTATAACTCTCCAATTGCTGCCGTGCACTCTTCAGTTTTTCATTCTAGATGCAATTTCAATCCAAAATTACACAAGGGATGACAGGGTGTTTTGCTTGGATGGGAAAATATTGCAAACTGCTGCGAAATTAGAGATGAGATTTGGTATTTTTATTTCTCAAGACAAAAGCTACTTTAGATTTCTATATGACTACCTACAACTTGAGATTAAAAGATTGAGTTACTGCACTCTGCAAGTTACATGTAATTTTCACATAAAAATCTCACAATATAGGCATATTTTATAGCTCTATTTTCAGATATAGCTGAATCTCCGCACCAATATCCGCTGTATCCCTGAATCTTAATTATTAGATTATGAAGGATCCAACCTCTAGACCCCCACCTGTATCCGATGCCCGCACCCAAGCCCAAGAGACTTAGATTAAGATGGAATCGAATATCATACACCAACCAAACTCAGGAGAAATTTTGTGAAAAGTTGTAATCTTTCCTCTACTATAGGAGGCTGTGTTGTTAGCATTGAGAAGTGCTTGTGTAGCTGCACTAAGCTATCAAATAATTTTTTTTTAAGTGTTAGATGGATTATGTTGGCAAACTAAAATTCTTGTGGTAAAAGCACGCATTTAGAGTTTGTGACACTGCTGCTAAGGTAAAAAAATTTAGATGTAGTTCTTTGTGTTCTTATTGTCCATATATCTGAATCTGATCGTTTTCTTTTTTTGATCAACAAAGATTACTCGCTAATATGTAAGTTTATCGCCATATGTTGAAGTTGTGAGGTTAAGTGCTATCCTAGGCGCATCTGGAAAGAAATCACGGTTTGTTCTTGAAGACAATCAGATATCAAACAAAAACTAATTTCAGGCATAAATTAGATTAGTGAAGGGAAACTTTTGAAGGACAAATAAGAGAAGAAAGACGATAAGGTGTGACATATTGAATGATGAGCTTTGATGATGCAAAAAAATTAGGATATGCCACTTTGAAATTAAGGTACGAGGGAGAGAGAGCCTTTATAATTATAATAATAGCAGAAACATACTATACTATGAAATAGCAATTTATTTCAGTGGACTTGTCAGATGCACATTACTTCCATCCAAATTCATAATTTATTTAACACTTCATGAATAATCACCGTGCATCTATAGTGAGAACATGTGCCAATTAGTTATTCACGAACATATTATCTGGTATGACGAGATTAAGAACAAGAATTTAAGAACAAGGTTTCTTCCAAATCTAGAGTTTTGCTAGTCGAGGTAAGCTTCGCAAACCGCTTTCAACTACGATTGCTAAAGATGGTTATACTTGATATTGGTCTCTAGAAACTATTATAAAAAACAATACAAATTATGAACCCTAGAATTGAGAAAAATCAAGTTAGGGTTTCTAGAGTTTGTGTACGAGCTGCCTTCTTAAATTAACTTCTAGAGATTGACTTGGTAAGTTGAATCTTTTGGATTGGAGCGACGAAGATATTCAAAGTGAAGAAATCTAGGTAAGCTGAGACAATATTGTGCTAAACTTGTCTTCTCAAAAAGTTCATGTTACATAAAGATGTTAAATTATTTAGAATGTTAATGTAAGTTTTGATTAGAGCGAGCTTGTATTATTTGTCACAATCCAAAAGTATATGACCGGCATTCGGCATACTATCCAATCCGAGTAGACCAACCCAATACTCATCTATATGCCTATTAAATGCATGCATAAGCTTTTCTGGAAACACAATTATTTTAAATGATTAAGATTATAAATAAAATAGAATCTTTAAATTCACCATTTTTAATAATTAAAAACACATAAAGATAGCAATGTCTCTTTCATGCATGCCATATGCATAGCTCTACATTTCAACCCAAAATAATGACATCTGTCTATAGAATCTCTAAGGCACAAGGATAAAATAAAACTTCGGCAATTCCTGACAAAGAAAGCAAGGAAACAACATAATGGCTACCTTAGAAATGAAGTGGTGCCTCACCATATACCTCGGAAAGAAAGTCATTCTAGTCGTGTTCGCTCATCACATATCACATCTCAACCTGAAACATGTAAAGTAAGAAGATGCTTGGAGAGGGATCTCTGAGGGCTGAGTACACCACCATGGTACTCAATAAGGTTCATACTCTCTCTAACTAGAGTTCCTGGGACAAAGCTTTAAAAAATATATGCAACTCATATTTTATACAAAGCGGTAAACAATAACATCAAGTCATACTCTTTATCATTTTAAGTGAACATGCTAGTAAGATACAAACCATGATATAAAATTTTAAATATTTATATCAACCCGCGATTCGAACAAAAATCATACAAAACCATTTTAATTTCATTAAATTATTAAAATCACTTTCGGCTCCTTAGGCCTAAATATAAGAAAGTCATCTTTCATCTTTCACAGAGAACACTATACAGACACCGACATAAATAACCACTACGTGATCAATCTAGCAACAAGTATTTTACCCTATTTGTCCGGGCAGTTTTTCGTAGTGTCATTCGAGTCGACTTAACCTCGTTTCTTTAATTAATAATTAATTGCTTTCACAATGAAAAATTTCATCCCCCAAACATCGGCTTAGGTTTGGTATGTATCCCTACACGGGTATATGTAGTTCCATAGTAACGAACTCAACATTCGAACCAATTTCGGTGGTCTCCAGTAGTAATTCCCAAAATATTTGATATTTCAAAAATAGATTCATAGCTTAATAGTCTCAAAAGATCTATTTTATCAAATCATGGCATTCATAACCGATCCAACCATTTGAATAAAAACCAAATGAAATCCTTTCTCATTTCATATTGAAGCAATGTAATGACTCGACCATCGTTATGTGTATTTGAGCCCCGTTGCCCTATTTGTTGCTTTATATATGCTTGTTTGTTTCTTTGTAACTTGTGGGGATGGTTGGTTTGGTTTCGGGAAGCTGTTGGAGTGAATTGAAACACTTAGTTTCATTATTGGAAGCCTAAGTTATAAGAGCTGACCGAGGTTTGACTTTTGAGAAAACAACCTCGAAATGATATTTTGATGGTTCCACTAGTTCGGATGTTGATTTTCGACTTAGGCATATGTCCGAATTTGGATTTGGAGATTCCTAATTTAATTTGGCTCTAATTATCGAAAGTTAGAAATTTAAAGGTTTGGAGAATTAATAAGTTTAACTCATAGTTGACTTTGTGGTTATTGATGTCCATTTGGGATTCCGAGTATTGAAATAGGTTTGTGTGGTAATGTATGACTTGTGTGCAAAATTTGAAGTCATTCCGAGTTGGTTAGACATGATTCGGCATGAGTTTGGAAGTTGGAAGTTTGATTAGTTCATTAAGTTTGAAATGAGGTGCGATTTGTGGTATTGATATTATATTGTGTGATCTTATTCTTCGAATAGACCCGTGTTATATTTTGGGATTGGTTGGTGTATCGGTCGGTGTACCGAGGGGATCAGGTGTGTTTAAGATGGATTCCGAATCATTTTGCAGCTAGTTGGCGGGTCTGGTTCTCGTGCACCGCACCCGCGGAGGAAAGATTCACATATGCGATGTCGCACATGTGAAGGGCATGCTTGGGTAGAAGTGCGCAGATACACAAGGCTGACCGCACTTGCGGAGGTTGCACCTGCGAAGGAATGTTGCACATGCGGCTCTGCAGAAGTGGAAACTTGGTTGCAGATGCGGAAGGTCGGGATTTTAGTGGGACTCTTAGAAACGGGTCTTTTGTCATTGAAGTGACACCGCAGAAACGACAAATTTGGTCGCAGAATCGAGAATCGCCGTGCAGAACATTTTTAATCGAGGGTCTGGCTTCATTTTGTTATATTTTGAGATTGGGAGCTCGGATTAGGGCAATTTTTTAGGCGATTTTCACCCACTTGGATTGGGTAAGTGTTCTTAACTCGGATTTCGTGATTCTACCCTTAATTTTTGCTTTTGGTTGATGAAATCTAAAGGAAAAAATTGGGGGTTTTGTGAGTAGTTTTGGAGAATAAATAATTGGGATTTCCCCCGTTGCATAGTCAGATGGATGAAACTTGTATATTTGGACTTGTGTTGGAATGTGTGATCAGGATTTGTGACTTTTATCGGGTTTCGGGGTGCATACAGGGTTGATTTTGTTTTTTTATTAAAGATCGAGCCTTTATACTCTGATATTATTTCCTCTAGCATTATTTGACACATTGTGTGTTACAAGACTTGATTCGAGTTGTTCGAAGGTCGATTTGCGAGGGAATGCATTTTTGGAGTATTAACTTGGCTCGTTTGAGGTAAGTAACTTGTATAAACTTAGTTTGAGGGTAATTTCCCTGTTAGATATGGTATTTAATACATGTTTGGGGTGACACACGTGCTAGGTGATGGGCGTATAAGCATACATAAGGGTTATTCATGATCTGGTAGACCTTAGGCTATTATGTGTCTTGTTTTGCTATCATGCTCATTTATTTCCGTGTTTTCGTCACTTGTATGACTACATGAGCTATTATTTATGTTAGAAATCATATCTAGACTATGTGCCTTTTGGTTTGAGACATGATAGGGTTGTTCTTGCTATATTGAGCTGTTTGCCTTAATTTTAGTCATATTCTTAGTCATGGTGTTACATTCGCCTATTATATCTATGTCTATATGCATTCTTTATGTGCTATATCATACATTGTTGGTACCCTTATATGTGTGACATGAGTTGAGCTAAGTATTGTGAGATGCGAGCATTTGAGACTTGAGGTTGATGACTAATTTTGGGCCATTGAGCCGATTTGATATTGATAGTGAGGTAAAACGTGCGCCAAATCTCATACTAAGTGGTATTGATAGTGAGGTGACGTGTGCGCTAGGACCCATATTGAGCTAGATGATATTGATCGTTGGCTTAAATGCAATAAGTACTTGGGCTAGGACCTGCCCCTCCTGAGTTAGGTAATAACCTGTGGGTGCAAGAATACGGGTCATATATGTGCTTAGTGAGGGATTTGTGTCAGGAACCCGTATAGTGTTGAGTGTTATTGTGTGTGATGATTGAAGGGAAACTGTGCCAGACACTATACATGTGCTGAGATTTGATATACTTGATGATTTAACTGCTACATTGTTGATTCTGGAACGTAAACTGCCATGCAGGTATAAGGCTGTGTTTCTTCCCTCATGCTTATTGATGCTTGATGTCTCTAATTGATGTGTTGAACTTGGAATCACAGTTAAATGGATGAAACCATGTTTAGGTAATTTTTGTGAAAGAATCTGTTCATTAACTGTTATTCTTGAAAATCATGCTTATTTCCCTTTCTTATTGTGAAAAGATTGAACTTGGTATTACTTGAGCTACTTTTTCTTTTGTCCTTTTTATACTGTTGTTGTTGTTATTTGCTATTGGAAGTGAATATTGGACCTTGCCAAGCTTGTCTCTACTTTCAGCTCGAGGCTACGCTTATTATTTATTGTGTATATGTGCTCGATTATACAAGTATAGCATGAAGGTCAGACTATGATTCTCGCACGGTGCTACACCACCTTCTCAGCTAAGATTCTCGCAAAGGTCCAGTGTAGCATGAAGGTCAGACTATGATTCTCGCACGGTGCTACACCACCTACTCAGCTAGTTTGGGGTGGAGGTCATCCAAGATGAGGACTTCCTAGAGGGGGAACTTAGTCTAGTGGAGGTCAAGCCAGATGCTATGCGTTCCCAGGGAGGAGCGAGGTCATTGCTTCTAATGCACAACCCAAAATATCATTTAAAATATGATGCTCAGCCCAAAATATTATTTAAAATAACAAAACGGAGTAAATATGTCTGAGTTATGAAAACAGTAGAATACAACATGACTAAGTACAGATATTGAGTCAAAATAGTAAGGAATAGTAGTAAGAAGCCCCTAAAGGTCCAAAACAGTTGGCACGAGGCCCAAATATGGCATTCAACCCAAAACATGATAACTTTCCAAAACACAATGATATCAAACAGTTTTCAATCAAATACGCGACTTAACAGTCGTACGGGACGGACTAAGTCACAATCCCCAGCGGTGCATGACCCCACGCTCGTTATCTAGCATGTGCGTCACCTCAAGGTAGCACAACGATGTGAAATCCGGGGTTTCATACCCTTATGACAACCTTTACAATCATTACTTACCTCAAACCGGTCCAAACTCTGGCCCGCGATGCCTTTGCCTCTCGACTCGGCCTCCCAATGCTCCAAATCTAACCAAAATCAGTATCATACCATTAATATGTGCTAAAGGAACAAAGCCCAAGTAAAAATAATCAAGTTAACTCAAAAATCCCGAAATCGGCCAAGCCCGACCCCCGGGCGCACATCTCGGATTTCGATAAAAATCACATCACTAGAATCTTTATCCTCCCACGAGTCTATGCATACCAAGAACATCAAAATCGGACCCCAAATGGCCCCTCAAATCCCCAATGGAAACTCTCCAATATCAAGCCCTAATTCTCTAATTTTAACCCTTAATTTCCATTAATTTCAAGCCTAATCAGTAAAATAATGCCATAAATCGAGTATTGGGTTCAAAAATCTTACCTCTAAGTGTTATCCCCTGAATCCCTCTTCAAATCCTCTCAAAAAGCTCTCAAGCCGTCTAAAAAATGGTGGAACAAGGCTAAAAATCACGAAGGAAAGCTTATATAGTTTTTGCCTAGGTGTTCCCGCACCTCTGGACCAATTACCGCACCAGCGGACCACTTTTGCTATCAAAATAACCGCACCTGCAGTTTTCACTTAAGGTCCCATTCCGCATCTGCGGTAAGAGCCTCGCACCTGCGGCCCCGCAGGTGCGCTAGAAGCTCCACACCTGCGATGCAACTCCAACTGACCAAAACCGCTTCTGCGACCTCCTCCACGCATCTGTGACACCGCACGCGGTCCCCAATCCGCATGTGCGGTTATGACAGGAACAGCAGCTGAAGCTGCTCAACTTGAATTTCCAAACTCCCCATCAACCTTCCGAATCTATCCCGAGGCCCCCGGGACCTCAACTAAAAATACGAACAAGTCATATACCATTATTCAAACTTGTACCAATCCTCGGAACACTCAAAACACTGCCGAAATACCAAATCACCCTCGGATTCAAGCCTAAGGATTCCAAAACTTTCGAATTCCGCAATCGATCAAAAAGTCTATCAAACCTCATCCGAATGACCTAAAATTTTGCACACACGTCTCAAATGACACAATAGACCTACTCCAATTTCCAAAATTCCATTCCGACCCCGATATCAAAATTTCCACTACCAACCGAAAAACGCCAAAATTCCAATTTCGCCAATTCAAGCCTAAATCTACCCCTGACCTCCAAAATATATTCCGATCATGCTCTTAAGTCCCAAATCACCTCACGAAGCTATTCGAACCGTAAAAACCATGTTCCGAGATCATTTACTCACAAGTCAACTTCCGATTGACTTTTTCAACTAAAAGGCCAACTTAAGAGACTAAGTGTCTCATTTCTCTACAAAACCATTCCGAACCCAAACTAACCAACACGATGCGATAAAATACGGCTGAACAACACATAAAGAAGCAGAAATGGGAGAAATGGAGCGGTAACTCATGAAACGACTAGCCGAGTCGTTACAGAGTCAGTCTTGGAATAGAAGGGTAACATCGTAACCTTTAAGAGTAGGTTTATTTCCTACCTTAAGGCGAGGAAGATGATCTCTAAGGGTTACATCTATCATCTAGTTCGAGTCAGAGATGTTGATGCAAAACCACCAACTCTTCAGTCTGTTCCAGTGGTTAATGAATATCCAGATGTGTTTCCTGAAGAACTCCTAGGTATTCCTCCAGAGATAGAGATTGATTTTGGTATTGATGTGCTTCTAGGCACCCAATCAATATCTATACCGACTGAGCTATATTCAGAGGGGGATGGCCCTATGTGGCATATGTACTTCCAGGTTGTTCCTCGAACTTTTCTGTACTTACCGATGCTTTCGTATGTTATTCATGCCTTACATACATAGTATATTCTTTTTGTATCGACGCCCCTTTTTACTGAGGCGCTGCATTTCATACTGCATGTCCAAGTAGAGAGTCTGACAGGCCTCTCCAGTAAGCGGTTGCTCGTGTTTAGCGGTCGATTGGTAAGCTCCACACTAAAACAAATAAGGCTTTTAGTGGCAATTATTTGGTGAAAATAACTTAATTGCCGCTAATTTATTCTATATAAGCCAATATTAGTGGCAATTGAATATTGCCGAGAATAAGTACTTTTTACCGGCAATTAAAAAAACTTGCCACTAAAACTTACTTCTTTTACAAAAACTCTAACAATTCCAAGAGCGGGGGGACCTTTTTTCACAATCCCTCCAAATTATTTTCATTTCCCTCCTTAATATTAATTAACTATTTTTTAAATATATTTTATTCATCAATATCCTAGAGGACTGACAAATGAAAATCAACAGAAACCCTAACACTTAAAATTCATCTCTATTTACTGCTGGATCGGTTACTCTGGTATTTATCATTAACTTCATCTTATTTTTCTTTTGATTACTACTCGAGAAAGATTCATTATATTTTTAATAAATTAATGAAGAAAATCAAAAGAGTTTGAGGCTCTGTTGTTGCATAGCTGTTGCACTTCTTCTTTTACATCGTCACTCGAGGAATCGATGGGTATGCTATTTTTCTGAAATTGAAGGAACCAAAAGTTGCGCCTCTGAGCTCAAGGTCCCTTCTAATCTCTTTTGTTTTATGTATTCTGATAAATGGAAAAATAATTTTCTATATCAGGTGCTTTGCGAATTATTATTGATTTTCTACAGAATCTATTTTTCTTTGATTTTATAGTCATATTCTTTTGGTTGTTAAATTCATTGTCTCATGAGAATTAAATTTTCTCTCGAAATATTGCATATCTGAAAAAAATATATTGAGAAAATTTAGCTAAAAGAAGTAGTAAGAAAAAAAGCTTCAAAATGTTAGTGAATACAAAGAACTTTGGATATGTAGTTTCTCTAAATAGTCTGAAAAGTTTGATTGTTGCCAACTAAATATGCAGATAAAACAAAAAGAGAAAGACAAATAACGTATTTTATTTAATAATTACCAAACAAATCAAATATGCAAATCGGAAAGCCAATGTTGAAATCTTGAGCAATGTTTACTCTAGCCATGTGAATTGGGAGTCTCAATTTGTTCTTTTGATGTATTATCTATTAAAATTACTATCCTCAAACAAGAGGTTATTGGATAGTTTCATATGAATTCTTCATATTAGGAGTTAAAACAGATAAAAATTAAAAAGGTGTCATGTTTTTACCTATATCTTATCAAGAGGTTATTTGTTAGATGTATTAGATTATGTTTAATTTCTTTTATTACAATATTTCAATATTCTAGAAGTTATATATGCACAAAATGTACTTTGTTCTAATTGGTTTTCTAGAATAATGTAGCTTTCATGAGAGTTAACGATGGAAGATAGTAAGAATTTTATTGTTGTGATTGGTGATATACTGTTTTGTTTCCCTTCATGCACAGATAGATCAGAAACTATCACAAGATACTAGGGAAGCTATTTGTAGTGTAGTGCAAAAGCTAAATACTAATCTTCATGTACTAAATTTTCATGAAACATGAAAGCTTAAAAGATTTATTTTCGATCCATAATGTTGTTGTTGCTACAATTATTGGATAAGTTTCTGCTGCTGAGAATTACTTAGTTCATCTTCAATGGGATTAGTTTTATTGTTAATTGGTCTTCTTATTCTCTTCAAGATTCTTATGTCTATATCATTAAGATGATGTTCGATAGAGAAAAATTAGTTTGTAATATCTAACTTGATTCTTATTTCTATGCATTCTTGAACAAGTTGTATATAATAAGTATCATCTCAGCACTCCCTTCTCAACTTTTAAGTAGGAATTGCTAGGATTACTCTTTAATTATCTACAAAAAAAAAACTGGTTTGCATCTATACTGGTCTAATATGGTAATGTCTTCTAAAAGAAAATTTTTTAGAAAGTCAAATAAGAAAAGTTATACATAAATTATCGATATTTATTTATCTTTTTTCGTATAAAAATTTATCAGTATTTGTTTACCAGCAGGCATGAAACATTTATATACCAAACAGACATCAAACAATTCATTCTAGTGACCGAATATAAGTAAATTTATACTGTATAAAAAAGAATCAAGTAATGCCATCTATCTCGGACAACTAAAAACAACAATTTTATTATATTTTTAGGCTGGCAGCTTGAGCATGTGGTCTTGTTAGTTTAGAGCACAAAAGTAAGTAGTTTTGTGAAAAATTAACTTAAAATTGCTAGTTGTCACATAGTATAGATTGTTGAGATCCTTAAAGATCGATCTTCTGTTGGTAATTGGAATTTGTTTTGAGGTTATTTGTTTGTGTGTGTGTGTTGTGTTGGTTTCAAAGTTTGCACGCAAAACATATAAGTGAATGAGGAACACAATGCTTTGATAGTTAGCACTTACTAAATTCGTCAGTGCATACTTTGTTGCTAAATTTCAGAATTTTCACTGGGAATGCTTAAGTCTATTTTATGATTATCAGTTTTAAAGTAATTTTGCAATTATCACACTAGTCATAGCTTACCACTACAACAAAAGAAATACTAATTTTGTGCTTTGATTAAAGGTAGTGCACTACACAAGGCATATAACCCAGGAGACTAGTGGCGAGGTAGTATATGGCATGAGAAGGCAAACAACTATTCTTTGAACGCTTGACTAGAGATATTAAGCAGTTGTTCAGATATCAGGCATGTGGAAAATTTCATCATGATCAAGAGTTGGAGAAACTTTCATGGCACCATTTATATATAGTATTATAGCTATTTGATAATGTCAGTTATTAGATGCCAAATTACGCTAGTTATTAGATTCAAATATGTTACCTTTTTGGTTATGTTGTTGATACTTTAAAATTATGAAAGAGTAGATTTTGATGTGTATTTAATTAAGCGTAATACTTTTTTTGAGAATGAATCTTATTCTTATTATAATTAAATTTCAATATGCATAATGTGCATTACATGTTATGAAAAGAACCTTTCTTAATGCTCACTAGCAATAAAAAAATTCATTATGAAGGCCTCTTTTGCTGGCAATTAGATGGATTCTTACCGGCCATAACAAAATCCTTTAAATATATGAACAAAGGCCAACTCATATATAATTTTAGTGCCCATAACATTTACCGCTAAAAGGGTTCTTTTTACCGATAATTGAATGAGTCTTTATCGGCAATAACAAAAGTCATAAAATGTATAATATTTGATATCTTAGGGGATATATAGTGGCTATTTAAATTGTCGGTAATTATTTACCGCTAAAACTTAAGTACTTGTAGCGACAATAAAAGGGATCTTTACCAGCACTTCGTGCAATGGCCGCTAAAGCCTTTAGCGACGCTGGCTACACCGACCAAAAATTAATTGACGGTAAATATTTTAGTGGCAAATTTTATTGCCGCTAAAAGACTCTTTTTTAGTAGTGCCATATCTTCCGAAGTTAGCCGAGTCTAGAGGTTTTGGTATGATTATGTGTACATATATTAAGGGTAGGTCGGGGCCCTATCCCGATCATTTGACAAATATTATACTATTAAAGCCTTGTAGACTGATTGGTGTATGTCTAATATATTCCGTATGGCTTGCCGGCCTTGATGTTGTCATGTTGATGTCTTTGGCCTTGTGGACCTATATATATATAAATATGTTTTGGGTTGTCCATCTGTCGATGTTGTTATGCCTTTTCTGTCTTCAGATTGCTGTATGTTGTGGCCTTGTCGACCCCAAATGTTTTGCATATCCTGATTATGTGATTTTAGTTTGGTACGCTCGGTCAAATGAAACACGAGGTGTCGGTCTTGCCTCCCATGTTTGGAGCGGGACATGTTATTTAAGATGAAAGTGGTATAATTTTTATCGACGAGGGTGTATATCCATGGAGTTGTGTCCATTTGTGAATTACTAGTGAAAGGAAATAAACTTTTTGGCAGAAAATATTTTGTATAATGAAAAAAAAAATTAGGAGATGCGAAAGAAGAAATAGTAAAAGAAAAGCGGATACAAGAAGTGAGAAGGCTGCCCATTTTTAAGTGGCAGCTAAACATAAAATAATTAACAAACTCTAATTGAAAGTTAATTACAGCTGATAAAATGGCTTTCCGTGCACTTGGCCCTAATTTGCAAGTTTAATTTACTTTAATACTGCGCCGGTACTAATCTACTAGTATATGTAAAAAGTTGAGGTTGGGGGCTCTTTCAAACCGTAAAGTTTGCCACGATGACCGCTATGCAGTTTTCAGAATTTTTAATAACGGACACGTACCTATTCTCAGTTCCACGCGTCAGTTTTTCTCTTAAGTTTACCTCATAAACCAGCTCTTCTACAAACACAAAAGCTCAGTTCACAGCTCTCCTTTTGCAAAGTTTTGCCTTTTGGTGTAGTTTGGTTTTGTTTTAGATTTTTTCAAAAATGAATAGTAATTTGGAGACTCGATCATTGCTCCATGGCTTTGACAAGGGAGGTTTCTTTGATTTGGGACATCCTCTTCTCAACCGTATTGCTGAAAGCTTCGTCAAAGCTGCCGGGGTACTATATACATGAACTGCCATTTGTGTCCTTTTTAAATTCTTAGTTCTAATTATGGCTGTTTACATTATCAGATTGGTGCTGTTCAAGCGGTTGCTCGTGAGGCTTATTTCACTGCTTCTGAAGGTGAGCCTATTTTTTTTATCCGTTTTGCTCCCTTTTTTTTATTTATTTTATATTTCTTTCACTAGTGTGCAAGTTGTTCAGATTTTTAGAGTTTCTNATATATAGAGTCTGTTGTACTTGTGCCATGATTGTCAGTCAATTAACTACCCCTCAGTTCTGTATTAGTTGGGATTAGTGATGTGAAATATATGTATTCATTCGTCTTAACTAGATATGTCAATGTTTCAACTTTACGTGAAAAGTTTAGCTAAGATCCATGATTCTTGAGCTTACATAAAAGTGAGTATAAACTGCCTGGGTAATTGAATAATGTTTTGAAAGCAATTCTTAATGCCTGATTGTGTAAATATTATTGTGATCTGATTGTGTAAATATTTTTTACATCATCACTGCGTGCATAGAGAACTTAAATTCTTGCTGCATGGATTGAGTTGTTAAAAACTCTACTGTATCGAACTAACTTAAACTCTAACTGCATAGAACTCAAACTCTATATACAAAACCAAAGGTGATCATATGCAAATTTGACCATAGCTAAGATATGATCTCATCTTATATATGGTAATGAAAAATGGAAAGAAGTTTTTTGGTGTCTGACGGTCAAAATTTAGAAAAGTATCATCATCTTTGCATTTGATTTTGTAAATCATAATTACTACTTTCGTAGAACTTCTAGAGGAATATCTATTGAGAACAGAGTAGTGACTAAGCTATCGATATTACATAACAATTTTATTTTTGGCCTAAATTTCTAATGCACGTCGTCACCTGACTTCAGCTTAAAAAGGTGAAAACAATTAATAGATCCACCCTGCCTCGTTATAGTGATATAGAGACAGTAATACCAAATTCACTTGTTCATTCATGTGACATTGCTTCTACTTGTTTAAGGCATGGCCTGATTTAAAGTTAAAAAAATGTCAAATCAAATTGGACTGCAAGAATGATACTGAAAAAATTGGGGTTAAATGTCTTTTTGTGCATAAAGGCAGAATACACCCTTAGATGTAATGAAAATGTGGAACATGCATTTGTCTACTTGTTGTCGTGAATTAGATGTAAGCCATTGCCTTTTTAGTGTCGGGGATTACTTGAATAGTCTAGGTTACTGAAATAAAACTTTCACATACAAACTTTTTTGTTTAAACCTAGTTCAATACATCATCGGAGTTGTTTTTTGTGGATACATAAGCTGTCAGATGATTCCTTTTCTTGTAATATTTGATGCAGGGGAGACTAACAGAAAGTCAATTGAGGCCCTGGTAAGACGATTCAACTTTTTTGCATCTTGTGGTTTTTCTGATATGTTAATGCAACCAATAAACCCTCCCTCTCCACCTCAGAAAGAAGAGGAAAATAAAAAATGTGTATAAAGTTGAAGATAGGTGAGGTAGTGGATTACCTAGTTTGTTGTTGATTGAACGAAACCTTGATGTGGGGATGGAGAAATTATGGATGGTTGTAAAAGATTGCTTTTCATTTGTAAGTGGATATGTTGAAGCTTTGCTGAACAGTCTAAGATTATCTTTTGCCATCTTTTCAGGTAAAGAGCACCGGAAAAGAGTCCGTTCAATGGGGTGAGCCTGCTAATCTTAGTTTTCACTAGGAGAAACATTATTTTATGCCATCATTTTTTTAATTGTTCGCCTGGATGGTAGGGGAGTTCCTCTGGTCGTGAAAGAATGTCATACATTGCATTCATATATTAGGTGTCTACTTTGCCTCTGAATGTTGCACATGAAAGTTTTAATTCACTTCTGCAGGACTAGCTGCAGGGATGTACTCTGGTCTTACTTATGGATTGAAGGAGGCTCGTGGAGTCCATGATTGGGTCCGTTTTCCTTCCTATTGATCCTATGTTTCCCCTGTTGGCAAGTTATTGCTCATTTACCGGTGAATATGTGTCAATTCTTTGGTTCATTCTTCTGTCTGTCCTAGAATTAGTTGGTTCACATGATAGCAAACTCACTTGGTTCATGTCCATTTCAAAGGCAACTTAAACCTTCTTGATTATTTGACTAGAGTTGATTCATGGGGCTACACTGCGAATGAATAAATTTTGTCTTCATATACTGGGTGTCCTGTTTCGGCAGTGAAAACTTTGTTCTAGTACATATGTTTTTGTTAGACTGTCTGTATTGTAAGAAAATATCATAGTTTTGCATTGACTGTCAAACCATCCTCCTTTATCCAGGCCTAGGGCCGGCAATGTATGAGCTATCCAGGCCTAGGGCCAGCAATGTATGATCTTGGGTGTGAGCTCATACAGGCAGTTGTGGTCAATAGTGCTAAGTCACTTGCCATCCGTTGCAAGTCGGGGGAGTAGTAGTAGTTGTGTATATCTTTTGTGGACTATTTTGAAGTTGTCTAAACATTGCAAGATTTTCCTTCCGCAGAAAAATAGTGCTTTGGCGGGAGCAATAACTGGTGCGGCTTTGGCTTTGACACTGGAGGATCGTTCTCATGAACAGGTGGTGCAGTGTGCTATTACAGGAGCAGCTATCTCCAGTGCCGCGAATCTTCTTACAGGAATATTCTAGGCTGATAGTAGAATTTGTTTAACTGGAGACTTGTTACTACTTTGTTTCAATGGCGCTGCACTAGGCATTTTAACTTTTATATGCATGGATAATGCTGCTTTCGGGTTGATTTTGTGGCATTTTTTGTGCTTGTTATTAGGGCTAATTATAAGGTTTTGAGGCAAAATAATAGTATTGATGTCTCCCGTTGAGAGAATTGTGGACGGGTTAGGTTCTTTCAAGGCTATTGTTCAATAAGTTTACAGAACAGATGAATGCATAGGACTGGGACTTGGAATCTACCGTCTTGGGTGACATGAAATTTTGGAGATGAGGTGTCTATTTGGCCTGGTGTTTAGCAAAGCTGGTTGAAAGTTAAAAAGTCTTCGTAATCTGTTTGGCCAAACTTCTAAAATTAGCTTATTTTGATAACTACTTTTGGGGAGAAGTAGTTTGTGTTTGATTAATTAATTTGAAAAGTATTTTTGAGCAGTAGTTAGTGATTGGTTAAGTTTTTAAAAATTGTTTCTAAGTGTATTTTTTTCAAAAATGTTTTTCAAGAAATTGTTTTTGGAGAGAAGTTATTTTTTTCTGCTTTTTCAAAACTGTTTCTGTTTTTTTTAGAAGCATTTTTTTTCCTTCTAAAAGTTTGGCCAAATACCTCTGAGCAGTAGCAGTAATTAGTGTTTGGCCAAATTTTTGAAAATTGTTTTTAAGTGTATTTTTTGAAAAGTGCTTTTTAAAAAATTACTTTTGGATAGAAGTTACTTTTTTTCGTTTTTCTAAAACTGTTTCTGTTTTTCCTTCAAAAAGTTTGACCAAACACTTTAATTTTTGGTCAAAAAATTACTTTTGGCCCAAAAAAATGTTTGGCGAAGAAGTCAGTATCGCTTTTATATTAAGAAGGAAAAAAGAACTAGCAGTATTGGCTTTCAATGTCAAGGTCCTAAAGTGAGACGTCAAACACTGGCTATGCCAATTTTGGCATTACGGTAATGATGCTGAGTGATATCTTTTCTCTCTCTTCATTTTTGTATCTTTGGATACTTATCTAATGATTTCGGATTTTATTCTGTGTTAGGATAATATTTTATAAAACATGCATTTTTGTTATAGTATTCTTTATGATAATTGTTTATTTATTTATTTAATTTAATAAAATTTATGTGAAATAGATTATATATTTATAGAGTTTAGTTTATCATAAATTCTTGTAAGTTATAAAATTTGTGTTAGACAAACGGAATTGGATAAAATCATTGGAAAGATTGTAACATAAGATTAAATAACTTTATTTTATGAGATTGGTTTATTTTAATTTCTTATGCTAGTATATTTTGATTGTATTGAACGGACTTATTTTATACTGATGTACTAAGAACAAAATACATTTATAGGCATTTGGGCCAAATTTATATTATCCGGTAGCCCCAAATGACTCATACAAGTCATAGCCTAAAAATAACAATGACGGCTAGCAACTGAAAAACCTGAACGTGGTGCCACTGAGAGAAATCGGAGCCGCCGCAGCAAGAATTAGTAAACAAGAAGATAGCAGAGGCAGGAGAGAAGCAGAAGGAAGCAAATCGGAAGACGATAATCAAAATGTTGAAATGCCGGAGCTTGTGTATGGACACTGTGAGTGAGAGTGTGACGGCGACAGCGTATCACTATATTCAAGAAACAATGACAAATTGAGAGACTTCATAGTTATATATGCAGGCAACAAGATCTTATCTAGTACTCCAAGAAAGACGCACACAACAAAAGGAGGATCTTTTTCTTTAGTTTCCCTTTGGGATTAGTTTTTTGTTCCAGAAAAATGATGATCAGGCCACAGAAAAAGCTAAAGGAACAAAGAGTTCCTGAATCTAATACCAAAGACTGCACCCTTTTCTAATTTTCTTTACAAAATTGAAACTTTTTCAAGTTTTCATCTTGTAATCCAGTATATGCATCTCAATCTAATTAGACAACACAACACCCTTTGCCACGTCCTACTATATAAACTTTACACATAATTCTGAACAAATAAAAATTTCCAAATATTAGAAAAAAAAGGGAACTGAAATTTAAAGGGGTTTTTCCGAAAAGAAAATAGAAACTCATCATCATCTTTTTCTTTTCTTTTTTCTTTATCTTTTAGCAAATTAACGATGCATTGATAAATAATAGGAAGAAATGGGAAAGTAAGAAGGTTTTAGGGTGTGTTTGGTATAATGGAAAATGTTTTCCGTGGAAAATATTTTCCAAGAAAATATTTCTTAGGAAAACAAGTAGTAATCTTATTCATTTTCCGGTGTTTGGTACGCATATTAAGGAAAATGACTTCTCAAGAGTATTCATAAATAATTTAGATATAATAAACATGAAACCATAAACTTTCAAAGCAACAACCTTCCGAACCCATATTTTTCATAAACTTTCGAACCGCTAAACTTTCGAAACCGCGGGATTTTTAACCCGTAAACTTTATAATTTCTGAACCCATAAACTTCCAAACNTGGAGTGGGGTGGAAGGGTAGTAGGGTGGGTGGTAACGGAAAAACTTAAATTTGAAAAAAAAAACCTTTTTTAGAGAGAGGGGGTGGGGTGGGTTGGTGAGGGTAGGGAAGGTTGAGAAACAGTTTTGGAAAATATTTTCCCTTCTCTTGATAAGGAAAACATTTCCCTCATATTTGAGGAAAATAAGTTAATAAGGAAAATATTTTCCAAAACATTTAAGCCAACCAAACATGGGAAAATTGGAAAATATTTTTCGAAAAATATTTTCCAATTTTCCCATGTTTGGTTGGCTTAAATGTTTTGGAAAATATTTTCCAAAACATTTAAGCCAACCAAACATGGGAAAATTGGAAAATATTTTTCGAAAAATATTTTCCTTCATACCAAACACACCCTTAGTGTTGTATTTTAATGGAGTCATAGGGTTTTGAGTTGGGAGTTTGAAGTCACGGGAAATAACAGGAAATTTTGTGATTGTTCTTTCTCATATAACTATGCATAACGTTGAAGTATATACAAAATAGTCTGTCATTATATAAAATATATACTAAATAAAATGTCACTATACAATTTATATACAATAGACTATCGCTATACAAGATATATACAAAATAGACGGTCACTATACAAAATAGAATGTCACTATACAATTTATATACAATAGATTATCACTATACAAAATAGACTGTCACTTTATAAAAAATATATAAAATAGATTGTCATTGTACAATTTATATACAATAGGTTGTCACTACTTAAAAAATATACTAAATAGACTGTCACGATACAAAAAATATACAAAATATACTATCAGTATACAAAAAAATATACAAAATAGATATTTCGGGCTATTAGATATTATATGTTTGGGCCGGAGGGACATTTCGTGTCAATGGGGAAACCATGAGCTATTAAAATTTTGAGGGGCTATAGAGGGTCACTTTCTCATTTAATTTTTTAGTTTGTGTTTATACTTTTAAGATGAATTTTTAAAAATCACTATTGTTTAGTGGTATTACACCCCAAACCTGAAGAGGCGTGGCCGACACTCGGTGTCATACTCAACCCGAGCATACCACTCTGTAACTATGAATTCTAGAGGGGTAACCCTCAACTTAGGCCGATGATGCCATATTCTTAATCGTCTGAAAATAATGTCTCTCTCATTTGTGGGGTAAACATATCCAAAAGTTGGTATATATAACTGTGCAGGCCGACGAAGCCGCCATGAACATCTACTGATATACAAGATATACAGGACTCGTCTACAAGCCTATAGAGATAACTGAACTGTACCATGATCGGGGCAGGGCGTCGACCTACCCATCAAACCTGTATATATAAAATGGACTCCAAGGTCTAGACCTGGTAACTCCGAGGAAATGAAGCTTACCAACCAAGCTGATGTTTGGCTCTGTCTGTTGGGAAGGTCTATCCAACTCTCTATCAGGACCTGCAGGCATGAAATGCAGCCCCCAGGCAAACGGGACGTCAGTACAAAATAATGTACCGAGTATGTAAGGCTACAGAATAACTGAAAGCTGAAACTGAACTGATAATATAATAACTGAAAGTACCTGGGAGTCAAATACAATATGAAAATATGCTTACCTGCTGATACTAATTCATCTCTCTCAATATAGTAAGTAAAATAGTTGTCCGCCTTATAAGGCTCGGTATGTGTAACTCATTTGCCGTAGTAGGCTCGCACATAGGCGCTCGACCATACTAGGCTTTGTATCTTGGCCATTCTGGGCTTGCTCATAGGTGCTTGGCCACAGTAGGCTTGGTATATAACTTACCATCTAATCAGAGGTTGCCCAATAGGGGCCTGCCCATTGATTAGCTCGATGGTGGTGAAAATACTATAATACTGTATATATATAGACTCTCTACTCTCTTGACTGAAAAAAGACAAAACTAAACTGAATATGAAGTCCCGATAAGGGAGAATACTGTAGTTTATGAGACTAGGATACTGTACATAAATTTAAGAATAAGAACTTCTCCTTATGCCTCGGTATCAAACGCATGTAGTTAAGAGATCATGCCAAAATGAAGGAAAGGTTTAGCGTTAACATACCTTAACTCCGTTGAGTCCTTAATACCTTCCAAACAATTCTTCAAACAACTCAACTCAATCTACCACAACATAAGGAGATTTAAAATAAGTGCCGAGTAAAGGCTAAGTCCGCAACTTAAACTAGTAGCTCTTTTACATAAATTTGGGAAACATCTCCTTATGACAAGGTCCTCCTCCAATATCATATTTCAACAACAACAAGAACACAATAATAACAATATGTATGCATCATTTTCCAACCTTATCTCCATCACAATATACCACAAAATAGCCCACACACCCTAATCACTTCATACATAAAATGACAACCAAAGCAGTGCCAAACAACCTAAAATATAAAGACGAACGACCAGCTCAACATTCCGTCATTATGTGGTGTTTCTCCATACTTTTTCTCCCCTAAAACTTCATAAAACATCAGCACAAAAGGCCAACACAAGTGGACTACAAAACAGTCCACTAAAAGTGAAATAAATCGAACTCACAGCTTTCGATCATCGTCCCGTGAATTCTAACTATTAGGAAACGAATTTATCAACCTTCCTTGATATTTAGAATCTTAAATACAAAAAGTAGGAATTTTATTAACTATGAATCACCTTCCAAAACTCAAACTACAAAGAAAAAGAGAGGCAATATAGCGATACTTACATC